CTTTCAGCCCAGTTGGACAGGTATTTCGCTCGGTGCAAAAGCTTGAACATGATTCGCTGTGATAATTTTATGCACTCTAATATTAAAAAAACAAAAAAAAATGCCCATGGTCTTTGTAGGTTTCGTCCAGCCGTCAAATTATGCCGTCTGCACACATCACTGCCTGGTGCTTCACGACGAGCACCCTCTTGTGGTCTTCTTCTAATTTTTTTGATGGATGGCATATGGACATGCTGTGTGGTCAACAAAACCCCAACAGTTGTTCAGGGGTGTTCCCTTGTCCTTGACGGCCTAATAAAAAAGACAAAGAAAAACACTCTTAACACGGCAGTATTTAAACACTACCAAAACATGTGATATGGGACTTGTTACTCCTCTAAGATAAAGCGTATTTCCATTGTAGGGTTGTAAAAAACTGGGTATCGTAAATTAATATATATATACAGGGTCTGTCCCAAAACTTCCCGGAATGATTTTTTGTGGTCGGCAACGCCACCTCGCGGGGTGGGGCTTCAGGTGGAGAAGTTAGTGGGGGATATAAGCTTCGAAACGAGACCGGTCTCAGTTGTCTGCTATCAGTTGCTGAGGCAGGTCACGCTCCGCGCAGAGGCATCTACTGCACCCTCGTCGAGAAAAAAAATGGACCAGTTTTTGGAGCAACGTTATGCAATCAAGTTTTGTGTGCAACTAGGTAAAAACGGGGCGGAGACGCTCGAAATGCTTCGGAAAGCCTAGGGCGACGACGCGATGAAAAAAAAGCCAAACTTTCATGTGGCACAAGAGGTTCCGGGAAGGTCGGGAGTCCGTCAGCGACGACGACCACTCGGGACGCCCGTCGACATCACAAACGGATGACTCGGTGCAAAAAGTGCGTCACGTTTTGGACAAGGACCGGCGATTAAGCGTTCGAATGGTCGCAGATGAGTGTGGAATACCCAAAACAATCGTTCATCGCATTTTAGCAGAGGATCTCCAAATGAGGAAAGTCTGCGCGAAAATGGTGCCAAAGGTCCTGACGAGTGAGATGAAGGAAGAGCGTTTGTTGAAGTGCCAGGAATTGCACGAACGCTTCGAAACAGACCCAGAATTTTTGGACAGAGTGATCACAGGGGATGAGACGTGGATTTTCGAGTACGATCCCGAATCAAAGCGTCAGAGCAGCGAGTGGCACACCACGGAGTCTCCTCGCCCGAAAAAAGCAAGGATGAGCAAATCGCGAATCAAGGCAATGCTCATTGTGTTTTTTGACAGAAAAGGTGTGGTTCACAGTGAATTCGTGCCACAGGGACAAACAGTCAACAAGGAGTTTTACTGTGAAGTGCTCAAACGGTTGCGAAACAGGGTTCGACGAGTCCGAAAAGAAATTTGCGACAACTGGATCTTGCACCATGACAATGCGTCAAGCCACACCGCGCTCATTGTCTCCGAGTTGCTGGCCAAAATGTGTGTGCCAACGCTGCCCCAGCCACCGTACAGCCCCGATCTGGCACCACCGGACTTCTTTTTATTCCCAAGAATCAAAAGAACCCTGAAAGGAACTCGGCATGGGACGCTGGAGACGGCAAAAGCAGCTGCGACGACCTCACTAAAGGAGGTTCCTGTTGACGGCTTCCAGGGCGCCTTCAGTGATTGGGTTCAGCGTTGGCAACAGTGCATCGAAGCAGGGGGAGATTACTTTGAAAAGTTCTGAAAAGATTGTAAACTGATATTGAATAGATGATTTATAAAAAAACAATTCCGGGAACTTTTGGGACAGACCCTGTATATATAGTTGTTCCTTAATTCTGCTAAGGTTTGAGGCCGTCAAACTGCGCATGCGAGGCCCGCTACGCCGGAATTAAAAACGAAACTTCTGAAAACTGTTCTAATCTACCACAATTGCTTAGAAGTTCAGGGTTGTGTTTGCTAAATTTTGCATTGTTTATGCCTGTCTGGTTTTCACCAGACAAAAAATTGACGTGGAATATTCTTTCGACCGTTATTGGTAACTCTTTTCAAAACACCACCGGGTAACATATTCGGCCACCATATTTTGGGCATCGCTTTTAGTGCGAGACTTGTGACTAGAACCCATTTCATGTCCAGTATTGACGCGGCATTCGTGTCTAATACATTTAGACTCGCATCCGCGACAAACAATGACGTAGCTCTCTTGCTCCCTACACACTTTTATTTATTTATTTATGCAGTACCTACATCGCCCAGAGGGCATTACAGTAGGGGGGTTAAAATAGATAAAAGATGGTTGCATCACACTTGTTAAACGCAAGTAAAACATAGTGCTTGAAAGCACCAATACACAAAAAAATGCAAAAAACATAAAAGATCTGTTGCAAGAAAAAAGGAATACAATCAGCAAGCACATTAGTAACAGAAAACACGATACAAGTATAACTAATAAACACAATACAGGATATTGAACACTGAGGGAGTTTTATAGGTCCAATAGGAGAGAAGAAAAGCTGGCATCTGAGGTTTCTGTCACCACAAGTTCAGGAAGGGCATTCCACTCATGAATGCTCTTTGGAAAAAAGGAATGTTTAAACAGTTCTGTTCTACATCTAATTTCTTTTATTTTAAGCGAATGATCTACCCTTGAGGAAATGTAATCAGGACTATGGAGATACTTATCCTTGTTAATGCGTGTGTTCTGTAGGAAAATACTTCTAAAAAGTTTTAATCGCAAGCACTTTCGTCGTGAAGCCAGCAAGTGCCAGTTAAGTTGCTCTTTAAGTTTGGTGACGCTTGACCGAAAGGCGTAGGTATTTGTAACGAAGCGCGAAGCTCTATTTTGTACGCGTTCAATTTTTGAGGACAAGTTCAGGAAATGAGGGTCCCACGCTGAACACGCGTACTCTAAGATAGGCCTAACGTTAGTAGTGTATAGCAAAGCTTTTATATCTTCAGGAGCCATTTTAAAATTCCTTTTTATAAAGTTTAGGACACGGTTCGCCTTAAGTGTTACTGTGTCCATGTGTTTGGCCCAGGAAAGAGTGCTGCTAAAATAGACCCCTAAATACTTTACCTCCGTAACCTCTTTAGGGTCAGTGCCGTTTAGCTTGTACCTTGATAGAAAAGGGTTGCGTTTTTTGGTAAACCGAATATAATTGCATTTATTAATGTTTAGGCACATTCCCCACCTGTTACACCACGCCGCCACTGTTTCAAGGTCAGTCTGGAGTAAGTAGGAATGATCGTCGTTGCAAACTTGCCGGTAGATAACGCAATCATCCGCGTATAAACGAATACTAGATGTTAAGTTTTGAGGAACGTCATTAATATAAATTAAAAAGAGAAGAGGTCCAAGTACGCTCCCCTGGGGAACTCCTGACGTAACCGCTGCGTACGGGGATTTAACACCATTGACAACTACACACTGAGTACGATCAGTTAAATAATCTTTCAGCCACTTGATAAGATAACCAGGTAACCCCAAGGATGACAATTTGTGCATAAGAAGGGAGTGGGGCACTTTGTCAAAAGCTTTTTGGAAGTCTAAAAGCAAGCAGTCAGTTTGTATATTTTTATCGAATGAGAGAGAAATATCATGGACAAATTCAATCAACTGCGTAGAGCACGACAGACCCGAGCGAAAACCATGCTGCTGCGGGGTAAAATAATTATTTAACTCTAGATGAGATACAATATTTGAGTATATGATGTGTTCTAGCAGTTTGGAACAAACACTAGTCAGCGATATTGGCCTGTAATTAGATACCTCGCGTTTAAGACCTGCCTTATGGACGGGTGCAATATTAGCAGTCTTCCAATCCGACGGCAGCTTGCTCGAGAAAAGCGATTTGTTAAACAATATAACTAGGAAGGACGTAATCGCGGTAGCACACGATTTTAACACGTGGTTAGGGATTCCATCGGGTCCTGTGGCTGAATGAGGTTTTAAATTACAAAGAAGTTTAAGTACACCATTATCCTCAATTACAAATTCTGGCATCCCATTAAGTTCTGACATAGATGGGGCCAATTCGTCTGTCTCTGCTGGACTAGAAAAAACAGACTGAAAAAAATTATTGAAGCAAACCGCTCTCTCTAAGTCGTCCGAAGTCAATTCATTGTTCTGAAGTATTGGGGGTATACCTATGCTTTCGTTATTACCCGTTCTTTTCACAATTTTCCATAATTCTTTTGGGTTGTTAAGCAACCTGGGACCCAGGGTAGAGAAGAAATGCAGTTTAGCTTCCTTAACCTCTTTTTTAAAGGCGTAATCGAGGCATTTTAGTTCATTTTTCGTTGCCGGGTTTTTTGTTTTTTTATACTTAAGAAACAGACGTCGTTTCTTATTTAGGAGGCAACGCAAGCTTTTGTTTATCCATGGTTTATCGTGTCTACGCCTTCCTGATAACATTTTACAGGGAACATATTTATCGATAAGAGCCATAAGTACACTTTTAAACAACAACCACAAATCTTCAATGTCAAGTGACGTACATGAGCATTCAAACTCGGGGAGGAAAGCCAACAGGTCAAAAGACAAGTTATCATAATCACCCCGAACGAAAACATACACTTTTTTGGGGCGTGACTTGATGATGACATCGCGCCTACAAGTTATTTGTGTAACTACAACTTCATGGTCACTGAGGCCCGGTGTCGTCATTACTGAGGACACACAAGAAGGACGATTTGTAAAAAAAAGATCTAGAATAGATTCCCGTGCACTATATCTTGTTGGAAGGGACACGAACTGTTGCAACTCATGAGTGTTTATCAGTTCGTCAAACGTGGTATAAAGAGAGAGTGAATTACGCAAATTAGGTATATTTTCCACCCATTCTATATCGGGAAGATTAAAGTCTCCACTAAGTATGACGTCATCAGGGGTTATTGCTGACAAAGTATTAGATAAACACAAAAGGGGATCCAGTGCATTATTACCCGGTGGTCTATAAAATGAGCCGACTGTGAGAAATTTCGAGCCTCGCAGTTTGATTTTACACCAAACAGATTCGCAAATACAGTCGGGAAATTCAAGGGCTGTGCTTGGTAGGTCTGTAGACACAAGTAAGAACACACCCCCGCCCCTTAGATTTCTATCTTTGCGGTAGACCTCATAGTTAGCTGGAAATATTTCAGAACTGTCTATAGAACCATCAAGCCACGACTCCGTACCAATAACCACATCAGCCTGTGTTGAATTCAGAAGAAAGGCAAGTTCGTCTTTTTTGTTTTTAACACTTCTGCAGTTGACAGTTATGAAGACTAGTTTTTGAAAGCTAAGTTCTCCATTTCCGCTTGTATGCTTTGGTGGTTACCGGGCACTTTCGAACACAGTGTCATTATTTGGATCGTACATATACGTTTTGTTGCCTATAGTTAACTTGTTGTATCGCAATTTAAATTGCGCGTTCTGCTCACTGGCGTAATCTAGAAGTCTGCGTCTTGCAAACTGTACTGCAGGGGAAAAATCGTCGCTTATAGAAAAGCCACTTCGTTTTAGTTTGAAGGCCTTGGAAAGAACCCTTTGCTTGTCTTTAAATGACAGGAACTTCGAAATCAAAGGGCGGTTTTTATCAGCAGCAAAGCGGCCAATCCTGTGCGCTCGTTCAATGCTAGTAGCTTCAAGGTGTATATCGAGCTTATCGGCGAAAAAAGATAAAGCCTTAGCCTCTGAAGCTTCCCAGGTTTCAGCCGCCACGTCGGGCAAACCGTAGATGAGCAGGTTGTTTCTCCGAGATTGATTTTCCAGTTCTTCTTGACGTAAAGCTGTTGTTCTAAGCTGCGTATCAAGTTCCCGATTTGACGCTTTAAGTTCTTCAAATTCTCCCCTCAGTGGTTTAATTGCAGCCACATCGCTCTCAATTATGGCTATACGAGAAAATAAGCCCTCCAGTTTTCTTTCGAATGTGGTTTGCAAATCTTTGATGGCTTTCAGTTCGTTTATTACAGTCTTTTGTCCTTCGTGCATACTAGGAATTAGTTGCATTGCTTCAACTAGCTGATTTTCTTGCGCGGCAGAAAGAGGGCCGGGATTTAATTCAACGTCACCGCACAGCACTCGAAGACTAGCGGCACCATGGGTTGCACTTTTAAAAAGGCTGCATTCAAGTTTCTATTATTTTCTAAATCTACCAAGGAAATCCAATGCAAACATTTCTTGAGGAAAGTTAAACAATTCAAAAGTTGCGAGCGAGTGTGAATAAATAAAGCTGAGAGGGGGGAATGGTTTTTTTGGTGCAGCTTGCGAGCGCTATGCTCGTGGCACGGCCACTCGATCCCCCCTGTTGGTGCGGCCTGCCGATGTTTTTTCGAAAACAAAAGAGCGCGCGTGAGAGGAGAACTTCTCCCATCTACCGTGGGGGCGCTGCACATCGGTGAGCGGCAGAGCCCTTAAATGTAGAGAGTTTGGCCATTCGTTGGGAAGTATAGGAGACCAATGAAGAAGCGCCATTGGCCGAAAGCGGGCTGGGCGTGTTCCAGGGCGTCTTCAGAAATTTGAATGTGACCAACCAGAAGCCGGAAATAATGCCCTGGCGGTGGTCGCGAGAAACAAACCTGATAACTGCATTGGAGTAACTCTCAATGGCTGAAAATATGGTACACGTGATGTTTCAATCACGCTCATCCAAAATGATGGTGGAAGAGTGCGACTAGCGGAACGATCGACATGATCCGTACGCCAAGCGCCCAGGACCAGGAATCTGCCGTCCGAACGGTCACACTCTGTCCGCGCAAAACAGAGTTGCGTGTCGCATTCGTTTCTTACGTCTTTCTGCATGATCATGATCAAAACAACACGTGCACCCTATTTTCAACCACAAAGAGTTACTACGCTTCACTCTCACGCGCTTATTAAAACCATATACGAACATAGACTTTTGATCAGAACTGTTTGCCGCTACCACCGCTAGGGGATACCTTTCGGCTTCTGGTTGGTCAAGAGAGCATGCCAAGCCCTCTTTCCGACACTGCCGCACGCCCTGACTCTGCCCGCGCCTCCCATTGACCAAACTCTCTACATATAGACGCTTTCAGCGCGCGCCAAATTGAGCCGCCATAGCCGACCTTCTCTTGTCTTACCGAGATGCCGAGCCACTGAAGCGGGCGTTGACGAGCCTCCATAGAGGCCAATGCTGGGGAGAAGGACACAGTAACATTTAAAATGGCAATAACCTGTCCTGCTGTGGTAATGATGCAGTGGAGCGAACGGAATAAGAGGGAACAAAAACTGAAGGTCGGTTATGGCGGCGCCCATGCACAGCTGCCTGAAAGCGTCTATACGGCTCTGGTGAGCGGTCTTGTGAGCTGAAAGTACTCTGTTTTACCTTATGTTGTACCACAGGAAAGGCTGTAAACGCGAGCTCCTTGCTCTGGGGAAGATCTCGGCGGCACGAGCTCTCGTGCTGTAAGGGCAGCTGTCAACGCTATGAGCTCGGGCTTCCAGCCTTCGCTGCGGTACAACATAAGGTGAAACGGAGTATAGAGAAGGCGCCCAACGCGCTCTTGCTCCGCTACCCAGATAAAATATCTGCCTGTCATTGGCTTCGCCGATACCGAGGCGCTGCCGCGGTTGCAGAAGGCAGCAAAACTCGCTTTCCCCCACCTATGCACCGCTGTGCTCGGCGAAAATATCGTAGTGTCACTCTGCGCTCGCGTGTGTGGTTTGTGTTGGCATTTTGGAAGCTGCCGGAAATATAGGTGCGTGTTCTAGTTCTGAGTGCCAGACGGCGATGAAATGTGCCAACTCCACTCGTGAAACCGGAAATCCTGCAGTTGATAAATACAATGAAGTCTCTTCCGAACTTGAGTTCGCACCGCTGACTTACATGGCTGGCTACTTGGCCCTCGACTGCGAACAAAAGGTGACCATTTTTATTTGTAGAAATTGTCATAATTTTAAAGTAATTAGCTGACATATTCAACCCTAGCAAAGCAATAAGAATTTCTCTGTGAAAGCAAGGAAGGCTAATGTGTAGAACCCGCTAAACTTTGCACGTGACGTGTCCTGAATGCAAGCGCAACTTAAGGGAAATGCATCGCATGACGGAGCATAGCGGTCCATGTTTAGCCTTGACCAAGGAGGTCTCAGCTATCTACGACCTCAAGCTGTCTGGCTGTGCAAGCTCGTCTGCACCTTTGTCGAGAGGGCTAGTCAGCAGAGATTCGTGGTTGTGAAAGGTTTTGCAAGGTCCTCTCGAGCGCTGTGCTTCCACACCTTATCGACTGCCCGCTGATGTGGTGTGTTAACTACCGAGACCCCTGCCACAGCAAAGAGCTCTGCGAGCTCTTTCTCAAAAAACTCCTCAGACCTTTTTTGGCAAACTGGGCTGGAGACCTAAACAGCCCACTAGAGAATATATTGAGGCTTTCGCGGAAGCCTCTTTCCCGAAAGGTACTCCGCTTGTGAACTATATGACTGCTTTGGTCTGTTTTTTGTGAACGATGAAGTTTAGATTGCTGAAGTTATGCACGCGGAATACGATTTTATGTTGTCCTTCACAGATGAATAAATGGCACAGCTCGCGCGAGCTCGAGCGTCGGTTAAAACCGGAAATCATACGGCCTAGCTATATCCAACTATAACTCCTATATTACAGTGGTAATAGAAACGGGGCAACAGTTACGGGAACAAGAAAACGACAATTCGCTAATACTGCCACCAGAATGCAGATTTAACGCGCAGCCTGTAGCTGAGTGAGCTTTTCGCAGAAAGAATCATGTGCTTTTATTCTACACAGATTTGTCACATCATTCATGCAATCTGGCACTCGTTTCAATTGAGACTTGCGGCTTCACGAAAAAAAAAATCTAAATAGCCACACCGGGCCGGGCCTACTGCTCCTTTCTCACTATATTTCGTCTTACCTTAGCATGGACTAACCGCGAACGCTGTGCTAGCGCGAACGGCTAGCCTTTACTGCCTTGACTGCAGCACACGCTGCACGAGCGCTCATGCAGCCGCCGAGGCTTCCTTCGAAGCAACTATATCGCGCTTTTAGCACGCGCGGCTAACAAGTGCATACTAACGTGAAACGAAATATAAAGTTCCTCGATATGCTCCCCCGAAAGGAACTCTATCTCTCACCGATAACGAGCGCCACAGCTGGCGCTGCGGGGTAAAGTAGAACTATCGCTCTCACCGGCGGAGTGAGGCATACGGCAGGCCGCTCCCAAGGGGAGTCCTAATCGAGTGGCCGTGCTCGTGGTCAGCTTTCAGTGGCATTTTCGACAGGAGGGCGCATGCACAAATATAATCGGCGTTGAAGCACGCGCACCCGTACATCTGACTGCATAGCCATAGGACGTCCACAAAACCCGACAACTTTACCGACGCCGTGCTGGTTGCAAAGTGATACTCGTTCACTTCGTTTGATTATGCTGTTTTGTGTTACATAGAACTCAAATCGAATGGTTTACTTTTTACGCGCGGGGCGTACGCTTTACTTCTTGATTCGACCTCTTTCAAGCTGAGGTCACGGTCAAAAACATCGACGCGTATTGAGTAAGTGCAGCAATCTTGAGATCTAAGCGATGACGCTAGGGACGCTGAGGGAAGTCCGCTCTACAACTTGTGAAGCGGAGCGCACGCTCACTCCGCTAACTATAGACGCTTTGCACACGCGCAAAATTACCGCCGCCATTACTGACCTTCTCTTGTCTTACCGAGATGCCGAGCAACTGAAACGGTAGTTGACGATCCTCTACAAAGGCCGATGCTTTAGAAAAGGACACAGTTGAATCTAATATCGCAATAAACTGGCCTGCTGTGGTAATGATTAAGTGAAATAAACGAAATAAGAGGAAACAAAAACTGAAGGTCAGTTATGACGGCGTCTATGCACAGCTGCTGCAAAGCGTCTATACGCTCCAACTCAGAGCGGGCCACGCACGCGCGGTGGGGACGATGCTTCTCGCAGAGCGTAAAGTAGAGCAAAGAGGGCTCATAAAAGTGGCCCACTAATACTCATATATTACGAACGCGCTCGTCGTGACTTGTCCTGACACTGCCCATGTACACCTTTGGCGTATAGAAAAAAGTAACTTTTCACCAGACAGAGCAGCTGTGCTACAAAACAATGCAAACGCGAAATTTACACAAACCATGCAGGGTCTCACCTGTGAGCACAGCTTATAGTTTCGCCAGGGTCAACCACCTATGTTTGTTCATGTCAGCGAGCAGGTGGCCGAACCTCTCGTTGATGTGACCCACGATGAGGTTCACAGAACTGAAGAACACCGACAAGTTCCGTCCAAACGCTCATCCAAGTACGAACAGACGGTTGGGATAGGCCAGTCGAGTAAGAGCCATGCAAAGCGTCTGCGCCGATCTGTCGGCGCAGACGCTTTGCACCAAATACCAGCACCCGACAGATCGGCGCAGACCCTGCGCCGATCTGTCGGGTGCTGGTATTTGGAGGACGCATGCAGAACAGCCAGGTCCTTCTTTAAGCAGGATAGCTTCCTAAAGGGTTTCTTTTCTACGTTGGAAATATCCAGCAAACCGCGTTCGGAAAGGAAGCTTTGGCGCTTGATGGCACGAGGGATACGAATCATAGATTTGATGTCTCGCCAGCTTAATCTCGTTAGTAGAAGTCTCCTTCCTTGAGAACAGCGGGGATTCATCGCGCAGATGCCTTGCTAGCCTTGAGCAACACTGTACTCGTACTACGCAAACGGATGTACCACTGATCTCTATGACAATTGCTGGATCGCTCTTCCCCGCTTGTTCGTTGCAGCGCAAGTGAAGCCACCGGTTTTCACTCGCTTGGGATACGATTTGCCGTTTTTGCTAGCCTTTGCTGCGGTTTTCCAGCGTGCTGTAGACACGTTTTCTACTCGTTCGTCGTCATTCGCCGAAGAAGTTTTTTGAAGACTCTGTGTATTGTTGAGACTTGCAGTTGTGAACACGTGGAAAATTTTACGAAAGTGCAGTGTCGCAGGAAAAAGGCACAACGCGTCGAAAGGAAGGGCTGGCGGCGTGTTCAAAGCTTCCTTGGCACGCCGAAGTGCCGTGTCTCTGTGCCTTCGCACGCTTGGATACCGACCAAGAACCGACGCCGTGTGT